TTTGGTCCTTCGAGCCGGATGGGCAAATGTTAGTGGAAAAGGAAGGTGAAACCATTCGTCGTGAGGTGAACAGTGCACGAAGACACGTGGTCGAGCCGTGCTGCAGGCGTGTCTCGTGGAGCACGTGAATAAGTACGGAGCTGCTACCATGGAGAGCGTTCTGGCGATGCAGCAGGTGACGTGCGGGTTGCTCGCAAATGCCTTATCGAATTTTAAGAAGATCGGGCGTAACAACTTAACGCCCGCCAAGGTACGTTCGCGCATCTCCAGCTTAAAAGGGAACTGGGAGACGTGCCGGCAGCAGCATTCGCAGCTCCTAGTGCTGACCCCCTTGGAGCAACGGAGGACGCAGGACTACTTCACGGCCCGGGTGTTCGAGAAACACGAGGAGATTTGTCAGGAAACGCTGGATTACATGCACGAAGCGTTGGAGGAGGTGGAGCCTACCATCAAAGTCGATAAGTCTCCGAGCGCGTCCTCGGTTGTGGCCCCTGAAACAAGTCTATTTTCGCGAACACAACTGCCGCCGATTAAGCTCCCTCCCTTTGCTGGAAAGGCCGAGGAGTGGGAGTCATTTCGCGACCGATTCACCGCGCTCATCATTAACAACCGCGATTTATCAAATTTCAGTCGTATTCATTTTCTTGTATCTAGTTTAACGGACGAGGCGCGCGAAGCGATTTCAGGCATAAACATCACCGCGGACAACTTTGAGGTTGCATGGAAAGCGCTGCATGAGCGTTATGAAAATAAGCGAAGGTTAATTGAGACTCACGTTTCTTCCTTGTGTAATTTAAAGGGCATGTCTCGAGAATCAGCACGCGAGCTTCATGCCATTCGCGATCAAGTTGAGCGGGCGATAAGTGCGCTCCGTTTGCTAAAGCGCACCCCCGAGGAGATGATGAGTGACATGGTCGTATTTTTAGTTACCCAGCGCTTAGACCTCACCACGCGTCGGGCGTGGAAATTGAAAATTGTTGACACGGATTCGCCGCCGTCCTACGAGGACTTGCTTCGCTTTCTGTCGTCGCGCGCGCATGCTCTCGATGAGATTGCTCCTTACGAGCCGCCGAAATCGCGCGCTCAGAGCGTAACGAATGCTACCACGGTCGCGGCTGCCACGTCTTCATGCCCTGTATGTAAACAGTTACATTTTTTAAATCGCTGTCCACGGTTCGGTGCGAAAAGCCCCTGTCAGCGGCGTGAACTGGTGGTGAATTTAAAGCGGTGTGTCAATTGCCTCGGATCAAGTCACTCTGAAGAACAATGTCGAAGTAAATTTACTTGCCGCGTGTGTAATGCAAGGCATCACACGCTTTTGCATGCTGACACTCCGCTTTCGCAGCAAACCGTCGCCTCATCTCCGCCTGCAGCGCTTGAGGCTTCGTCGCCGACCTCAACCACTAACTCCCCGTCGGAATCCCACTATGCGTTCGTATCACTGACTACTGCGCCGAAGCCCGTGATACTTTCTACCGCGACGGTTACAGTGCGTTCCTCAAGTGAGCGCGCTGTAACAGTCAGAGCTTTACTTGACAGCGGGTCAGAGGTCACACTTATGACGGAACGAACCGCTCAAAACTTGCGTGTCCGTCGGATACGCACTCGCGTAATCATGTCAGGAATAAACTGCATACAAACCAATGCCTGCCGTGCGGCAGCTGAAATAAGCATCTCGCCCAGAGACAGTTTAACGCCCTCCTTCAATACGACCGCATATATCCTTCCCTCTCTCACTAATTACACCCCTCGTCTCACGTCCGAGGTCACTCAGTGGCATCACTTGTCAGAGCTCAAAATGGCGGACCTCAACCCCTTAAGCAGCGAACCCATTGACTTAATTATCGGATCCGATTTATACAGCAGATTGTTAGTCGGTGCACGATGCGGAGCATCAAATCAACCAAGCGCGATAAACACGCACTTAGGATGGATCCTGTCGGGTCCGACGGCCAAGGTGGACATTAGTTCGACCCATTCTGTAAGTCCGCAGGGTGAAACTTCAGCCTTGCCTCATATCAGTGTTGGTGTTTGTTCTCTCGATCGCGACCTTCAAAAATTTTGGGAGATTGAGGAGATCCCTTCACAGGCACTACTCTCGCCGGACGACGATCGCTGTGAAAGGCATTTCGCGGAAACTCATTCGCGCGACCCTGATGGCAAATACGTCGTCCGCCTGCCCTTCCGATCCGATCCTCCACTCGATATAGGCGACTCGCGCGGCGTGGCTGAACGGCGGCTGCGCTCACTGGTGCGCAGACTTGATGCTCAGCCAGACTTAAGGCAACAGTATCAGGAGTTTCTCTCAGAATACGAAAGTCTGCGCCATATGTCACTGGTGGCCGCGCCACAGTCGCACTCACATCAGACAGTTTTTATTCCGCATCATCCGGTACTCCGCTCGGAGAGCAAGACCACCAAATTAAGAGTCGTTTTCGACGCGTCTAGCGTCACCGCTAACGGGTCGTCATTGAACGACCATCTCTTGACTGGTCCGAAATTACAAGCGGACTTGTCATCGGTTTTGCTCAGATGGCGCCAGTTTAAATTCGTTTACGCAGCGGACATCACCAAGATGTACCGTCAGATTGTGGTTAATCCTCGCGATCGATGCTATCAGCACATTCTTTGGGTTGATCACAACAATGCTATTCAAGAATACGAATTAAACACTGTGATGTATGGCACAGCTAGTGCTCCCTTTCTCGCTCTTCGCACTCTTGTCCAACTGCGACAGGATGAAGGAGTAACGTATCCGCGCGCGTCTTCCATATTGACCGACAACACATATGTCGATGATGTGTTGTTCGGCGCTGATGATCAACCGACTCTCATCCAGGCACGCACGGAGTTGTGTTCGCTACTCAAAAAGGGGGGTTTTGAGTTGCGCAAGTGGTCGAGCAATCGACCTGAGCTTTTAGCTGATATTGATCCGTCCAATAGCGGGCTCGCTCAGGAGGTGCCTTTCCGTCTTGATGATAATCTTAAGGTGTTGGGGGTTACTTGGAGTCCAGCCCGTGATTGGTTCCGATTCAACGTAGAGGTATCTACGCCAGTTCCTGTCTCAAAGCGACAGGTGTTATCAGTCATCGCTCGTTTCTTCGACCCCTTAGGGTGGGTCACGCCAGCCATAATTGCTGCGAAAATCCTCATGCAAGAGCTATGGAAGCTCGGGCTCGAGTGGGATTCTCCCATTCCGGCGTCGGTGCTAGAGCGCTGGAGAAAGATTTACTTAGAGCTCCCGGTCCTGCGCACTGTTCAAATCCCTCGCTGGACGGGATGGAGCTCCGACACTTGTCAAATGTCCATTCACGGATTCGCTGATGCATCCACTGTCGCTTATGCCGCTGTTGTGTATGCGCGTGTGGAGTCATCCTCCAGCCCAGTCACCGTGACCTTGTTGGCCGGTAAATCCAAGGTCGCACCCCTCAAAAATTTAACCGTTCCGCGACTCGAACTGTCTGCTGCACTCCTGCTCACTAGGTTAATCGAATTTGTAGTCTCTGCGCTCAGGGTTGAGTCGGCACCTATTCATTGTTGGACGGATTCCACGGTCGCTCTCGCGTGGCTCAGCAAGCATCCATCGGTTTGGAAGACGTTCGTGGCAAATCGCGTCTCCAGCATTCAAACCCGGATGCCTTCTGCCACGTGGCATTACGTCAACACCCACGAGAATCCGGCTGACTGTGCCTCGCGTGGGTTGCTTGGATCCGATCTGGTGAGCCATCCGTTGTGGTGGTCGGGTCCTCCATGGTTGATCTTGAGCTCTGCGGAGTGGCCAGGGCCGCCCGCCGGCGTCGTTGGAGTGGAGGCTCATGGCGAGGAGCGGCGGGCCGCGGTCCTTGGCGCTACATGTGATGCCTGCACCCCGCAATGGGACTTGGCTGGCCGATTTTCTTGGTGGCCCAAATTGATTCGAGTCACTGCTTACGTGCAGCGGTTTGTGGAGAGTTGTCGAGGTGTACGAAGCGTTTCCAGCCAAATGAAGACCGCTCCTTACGCGGTCACCGCGTCCGAGTATCATAAAGCCAGACAATTCTGGCTCAAAGTGATCCAGGCAGAAGTTTTTTCCAGGGAGCTCTCCGCGCTCCGCTCCGGG